AAAATAAGACATCCAGAATTTCCTAAAGAAGTAATTTAGCGTAGCACCAAGCGCTAACGATTATATCTAAGCGCTAATAACTAACTAACTAATAATAACTAACTAAAATACGTACGTACGTAGTGCATAACAGACGCACGATTTGTCACATCCAAAATTTTATCATATGATTTTCATAAATTACACAAATCGACGAATTTACATTTTTTAAATTTCTTCTAAAACCTTAGCCGCAGTACATAATGTTTCTTAATACAAACTTTTTTCTGAAGTTATTACGAATCAGAAAATATAAAAAATATTAAAAACTAGCTTGCCCTTGTAAAATAATATAGCTTCAAACCTGTGCAATTTTTTTGTCTTCTTTTGCGTGATTCTTCTCCAGTTTACAAATACCCGCTATAAAAAATAGATTGTTAGGTGCGCCAAGTTGAGAGCTTTCGCCAAAATGCATCTGTGAAGGGCTGGTGCATTATGAAGGTAACAGCAAAAATCCGAAAAAACTATTTTATGGTATGTAGATCATATTAATTTGACGTTTTTTTTTTTTATAATTTACTTTTGTTTAAGAAAAAGATTTATTTTTTATAAATAATTTTATTAATTTTATTAATATTAAATTATTTAATATACATTATCTAAGTTTAGGATTATAATTTTTGTTTTTTCGTCCTTATATAACGATTATACCATCGATCTCGAATTCGTTTTGAATTCCAATAGTCAGTATGGATTGCCAACCTTTTAACCAAGTCATTAATAACCTCCGAAGGTAATACAGTAGAATCTTTATATTCTTCGAGCTTCACAAGAATTTGTTCTTCAATATCCGTAGGTGTATGTGTCGAGTGTTGTCTTTTTTGGTATGATGATGATGTCGATTGTAAGTTTGGATTGATCTCATCAACTTTCATTTCATCATGTAGTTCTGAAGATTGAAATTCTTCTGTTATTGTTTGATTAGTTTTCGCTTTTACTGACTTTTTATCTTTTATTTTCATAGGTATTAGAATCGCTTGTGCAGAAGCATTTGCGTTCATTCTTTCGATTCCTAATTCATAGTAAGTAAACATTCGTCGGTATCCATCTTCAGTTAGTTGCGTAGTTTCTGCGAATAATGTGCAGCTTTCTGTGTGTTGGCTGTTAAATGCCAACTTAAGTTCATTAATTAAATTCCAAAGAGCTTCTAGACGACTTTTGATGAACCGTAGACACCTACTTACTGACGGATCATTGGTAAATTCTGAAATTAACAAATTAAGTCGGTCATATTCTGATTGTGCTGCTTTGATATTTAGCTTTAAATTTTCTAAATTTGTTGTACAACCAGTCATATATTCTTTTAGGAACTTTATTTCGAATGTTTCGAGTGCTTCGTCAAGAGCTAAATAATGTCCTTCCTATGTCAAATTAATTGAAGGCACTGTTTGAAGATTTTGTAGAAATTGTGGATTATTTCACAGATCTGATATGAATCGTGTTACAGACTCTGCATATCTATATTTCTTTGTGACATGAAATAAAGGTGCAAACGTCATCAAACTATGCATCTATAGATCGAAGTTTCCTGTTCGAATACAAAGCTTGTACAATTTCAGGTATCCTGCCCATTGATAAAAATTATACCAAACTTTTAAAACATTATTATTTGTTTTAGAGATATCGTTAATGGAGATACCTTTCTCATTAACATGTTGATGGATTGCGACTCCTACAGCCGTCCAAAGACAGTGATGGTAAATGATTTGAAATGACCCAAATGACCTAAATGATTAGTGACCAGTCATTGGATCATTTCAAAAACCTGATGACCTGCTATGGTCATTTGAAATATCTATTAAAAATATAATTAATTATATAGTAATTAATTGCATAAACAAAATACAAATATGCAGCATAACTGGCTATATAAATAAAGTCATGAATTAACTTTTTTATCAAGCCGCAGGCAGTGTTATAAATTCAAAAAAATTTTATTCGTGCAAACACAAAAAAATATGCACAAAAAAAAAAAATTTATACACGTGCTATATATACGAAGAGCACGCATGAACCCAATTTACATCACTAGCCGCAGGTTGTATAACAAATCCGATTATATATGGATGAATCCAGACCAAAATGTTATTACGCCATATATATAACGATAAGGGTTCAAAAATAATTACCTATATTTAGAAATCACATATCGCTACATATGCAGGGCCGATGATTTTTTGCGATGATAATTTTAAAAAATCATCGACATATATAGATAAGTACAACTAATACGGTAATAATTTATAATATAATCTGTAAGCTAATTGCTTTTCTATTATTTAGGGTATTACGTATAAATTATTTCCTGTATAAATAATTTATTAGTGCTAGAAATTTAAGTCAGTAACACTTCTTTATTTTAACTGCCAAAATTTTCAAAACTTCTACAATTTTTAATGCCAATATAAACTTCATTATATTTTATTGAAGTTATTGAAGAACAAAAGAAATAGGCGAATCTAATGAATCATTGAATAACCCCAACAAATTCCATTTTGCCGATGAATCATCTGCTGGGTGAGTAGTGCGCCCGCCAAATTCAAATTCAGGTAGTTCATCATCTACAATTTCACCATTCTCTAACCGATTTTCATTATCTAACATTCCAATCCAGTTCTCAATTACATTTGACCAATTCTCTTTTTCATCGGAAGTTTCAGCCTCATCGGCTGTATCTCCTTCAGTCACTTCGGTCGTTTCGGTTACTTCAGTTACTTTGGTCGTTTCAGTTACTTCAGCCACTTCACTTGGCGAATTATCAGTGGTTGGTGAACAAGTTTCATTGTCACTTACAAATGATTCTTCTGATTCTTGCGCAAAATCTTCATTATCATCCTGAGATCGAATAGGAACTGCGATGTGAATTCTTTTGTATTGTCGTTCAGATATTTCAATGTCACTACGTTTTCGCTTGCTTAGTATATCACCACGCAATTGGCTCATTGCTAGCACTTTTTCATACTTAAAATAAAGAATCTAAATTAATATCATGAAAAATCAAAATAAAATAAATATTTGTACATACCGGCAAACGATTTCGGCGTTTTGTATGCAAAAAACCCATAGTTGACCATAACCTTTCAACTGAAGCCGAATTAACACATATTCCAAATAGTTGTAAAGCTAGACGAGACAATTCTGGCGCAACACCCTTTACTGAATCCTAGAAATCGATAACATTTTCATCAAAATGATTATAAGTCTCCTTATTAAAAGGAAATACTTCCCTCTGATATAATAAAAATTCACGTAAAATATGTGTTGGTACTTCCTTGAACCATACATAGTAATAATAATACAACCACTGACTAAAATGTGTATAGGAAAGGCTGGGAACGCAGGAAGAAAACCTGGAAAGCCGATATTTCGGATGCAAAACGAATGATAGTAGGAGTAATAGTTGTTCCCATTGAGCCCACCGATTTTCTAATCGGGCGACCATATGATCCGCAAAATCTTCATCATTATGGTTTGAAAAAACCTTAATAATAGAAAAGCAATTAGCTTACAGATTATATTATAAATTATTACCGTAT